TTTCTGCGCTGATGGCAGGAAAGACTTTAGCCAAAAAGTTGCTTAAACCAACTATAGCAAGGTACGGCATGTTGTATTTCTTAATGTCTTGACATCTACTCCCTTCAGACACCACAAAAACCTCTCATTGCTGATGGCGGGGGAAGGAACATTTTAGGCTAGAAAAGTCCTTTTATCGAGGGCTCAGGGCCCGCCGTCGGGGCAAGGCGGCAGCGCCGCAGCTGGCGGCGTCCTCTCCTCGGTCCCCGCGGGGCCGGCGGCCTCCGCACCATCCGCACCGCGCTGCACAGAGGCAATGGCTGCGGCACAGCGCGCAAGTTCCGCGGGATGAGCGGCTCTCGCCGCTGTGCACACGGCAAGGACGGACTCGGCCGAAAGCGGTTTGACGCTTCTCCCGGAGCGCCCGCGGGCCCCGCGGTGTCCGACGTGGAGCCAGGAGCTTCGGGAGCGGGGAGCCGGGGCTCGACGGTGGCTGGAGAACAAAAGCCCCCCGGGGCTCTGTGTTCCCCAAAGAGGGGAAGACGAGGAGGAGGCACCCGTCGGGCTGGCTGCGGTGGGGATGCACGTCGGGGAGGCACCAGGGTGAACTGCCGCGGTGAGGCGGCTGGGCCCGCTGCTGCTGCCCAGGGGCAGCCCCGCGGCCGGGACCGCGGGCAGGGGCCGAGCGCGAAGGGGTGGCCGGGCTTGCGCGTCCGGGGAGACGCGGCTGGGATCCAGCCCGCTGAGGTCGTTGCGTGCTTAATTACTTTGTTGTTTCGTGGAAATTAATCGCGGCGATACTCTACGGGGATCTGAGTCCGAAAAGGGAAAAAGGGGACGCTGAGCGGGAGTTGCAGCGGTGGTGTCCCCCGGAGCCTGCCAAGAGCCGCGTCCCCGGCCGCCTACGCCTGTTTGTCAAATCTTGGCATTTCCTGATTAGTTCATTAAAAACAAAACAGAATATCCCACCCAATAAATCGGAGCGAAGCCGGTGATGATTTAGTCACCAAGAAACACCAGCGGAATCCGATGTCAGATAGACGGGCGGTCACTGTTTTCCTTTAAAAAAAAAAAAAAAAATTTAAAAAAGTAAAGTCCTCGGTGTGATGCCGAGTGGTTCGCCGCATCGGCCTGTCTGTCGGCCGGCGCTAGCCCAGGGCTGGGCTCGTCCGCGGTCGCCCTCGCTGCCCTGAGCGCCCCGGCAGCACTCCCTGGGCCAGAGGCCGTCGGGGGCCCTCGGGTCTCTTCCCAGGCTGGCTGCAGCGGTGCTGCACCGGGGACTGTGCTCTCGGCCCCTTCTCTTGGCGTAGCCCCTGTCAGGAGCCGGAGCCGTCCCGAGTACCCGCTGACCCCTCTCCCTCCGGCGCCGGCTGCGGGCGCACCCCTGACCCACTCTGAAGATTCTGCCCCATTCATTTGCGCGGGGATGAGTTCCCAGCGGCCGCGGCCCCACACCGCCGGTAGCGCTCCGTGCACGCATCACGCACCGCTGCCGCGCACGGTGCCCCGCGGGAGGGCCCGACAAGCGCCGCGGGGCCTCGCTACCGTCTCCCGGGCGCATTTCTGTGCTCAGAAAGGGGCGAATGGTCAAGGTTTTCCCCAAGCTTCACGGCCGCGGAGGAACTGCTTTAATTTCTTCCTCGCAGCAAGAACAAACACTGCCTATCTCCTTGCTTCCCTGGACGGAATCCAGCGCTCCAGATGAATCTTTTTCTTTTTTTTTTTTTTTTTTTTTTTTTTGGGGGGGGTGGATGGGAAGGGAGAGCGGGGGGAGTCTGAGATAACCGCGGCGATGTCTGCACCGGCGGGACGCGCGGATGGGAGAAAGAGATGCGAGGTGAGCGCTCGCGCGGATAGCGGTGCTGCGTCCGCGCTCCTCGGGGCCCTGCGGCCCCGTCTCTCGGGCGGTGCGGGGAGAGCCCCGCTCTGGGTCCGTCGGGACCCGATCCCGATGCGCTGGGGCCGCCGGGACACCCACGGCGGGCCGGGGCCGGTGTCGGGGCGGCGGAGCGCGCAGGGCGCCGCGCCGACCTCCAGGCGGCGCTGCAGCACCGCGGGCCGCCG